CAAGTTAAGGACAGAAAAATCAGATACTCAAGTTGGAAACCATCCAGACTAACAGAGTTAAATACCAGCACTTCTATAAAGAGTGCCATGGGATTCTTTAAAGATTATTTCAGAATGTGAGTTGTGCTTCTCATCCACAACAAGGCATTTGCACTAAACAGGAGCTGGTGTTAATTTGGCTTTCCCTGTTCAATTACTGAATGAGTCCAACCCTGCTCTGGTTGGGAAAAAACCCAGAACCTGATCATCCAGTGAAAGAATTACTGAAATGCATTGTTTCTTCTGCCAAAACTCCTCCTGTGGGAAGGTAATTTTTAATTTTTATGGGTACGATTAACCTTTTTTGGAGCATACTACTAGCAAAATATGCAGAACTGTCATTTAAAATTTGATGGGTTTTGGTGTAGCATAGCCTCATTGTAAAAGAAAAATGCCCAAGCAAGAGAAGCATTTATTTTTTTGATGTTGTTTTCGTTCTCCTATTGAAGGTTGCCCATCTCCCTAGGCTTTGCCCTGTCCCAAATCTCCAGGCACTACTCTTCAAACTCTTGGCCCGCACTCCCAAACCTCTTATTAAGTTTCTTCTATCCATCAGGCTCTAAGTGTTTGCATCAACTTCCATGACAAATTCTTTGCAACCAAGGCAGTTCCCCAGCCAAGCAGTAACAAGGCTCAGCAGTATCACAAGAGCCATCAGTTTTCTCTCCACCATTCTTCCGTGCCTGAGCACCCTGGGGAAATGCCTCCTATCCCATGGCCCCTCTCTGGGGAAGCAAAATGAAAGCAGTGCAGAGATGAGACCTTCCTGAGCCTTCTCTTGATGTGTTTACTCCCCCCGGCCTCATCCTCCCCGCCAGTCAACTCGTTCCTCTTGCAATTTTGACGGTATTTACATTTTTACCCACATCATTACTGAACTTTTTTTTAACAGTAATTCTCAGCATCTAAAACCAGTGTGTGCTGAACTCATCAAGCTACTGCAGTTTATGTAATTTGATCGCCTCAAGTGAATTAGTTTAAAAGAAAAAGCTTCCAACATTTTGGATGATATACCGAGCTTTGAGTCATCAAGTGTGACATCTAATGTTCACAATGTTTATCCCAATATCAAGCCATACTTTAAAAGCTGTATAATAGTAGTAGATGAAGCATCACAGAAAATTGCTTCTATCTTCACACTGTAACTAACTTGCTCCATAATAATACTGTTTGCAACTTATGGTTCATTTTAACAAATCCCATAAAAATCCTCTGATGTGCTCAAGTCTCCATCAGCTATATGACTTAATGATCAATTCACCAAAAGACATCAACAGAATAGTTTAAAATCCGCAGTGGCAGTGGATAAATGCAGAAACTCCTGTGAAGATATTAGCTGTTTACTACCTTACAATCCCAAGGGAATGCTGCATGACACAAAGCAAGTCATCCACACTGCTTTTATTCACTGCCAAAACTAGCAGTATTTTTACTTTCTGATGGTCAAAAAACGTTTACTCAGTCAGTTAATTACAACAAAAGAGAGCAGGTAGGGGCCAGAGCACGTTTCGCCATATGTATCTGCCCTAAATGTAAGCTCATTCACCAGCTGCATGGCTGGAATGCACCGGGCGGCTTCCTCTGTAACCCAGGACTGACCATGAGTGACTGAGGGCCTCCAAGTTTCCATCACTTGATACCGGAAATTTATTTCTCAGACTTTCATGAAGGAACTCCATACAACTGCCCTGCTGCTAAGAAAACAGAAAAAACTGTTGATCCAGTGCAAAACAGATTACAGCAATAGTTCAAGCACTAACACTTCAATATTCTGAACACTGCTGCCTTCCCGAAACAGCACCTCTGCAGCTTTTCGCTTACATTACCTGGTGTGGTACAAGTTTGTCAATGTCACTGGAATCACAGAATGAATCGCAGAATGGTAGGGGCTGGAAGGGACCTCTGAAGATCTAGTCTAACCCCTGGTAGAGCAGGATAATGCCATCCCCAAATCTACTCTGGCCTTTGTTTACCAGACTGGCAAGGTCCAAGTACCAAGATTCTTTGGGGCTGGAGAGGAAGACTCCAAATCCTATGCCCATAAAGCAGCGCTATACTGTTACCAGTGTCATCATTTTTCCAGAGCTGGCTTTTCTGAATTTGCTCGCTGCAGCTAGACCTAGACCCAAAAAAACAGAACCCAGGAGTCCTCTACTCTCAGGTGCAAGAACTCACTGCCAGGCCAGGACCACTGTTAATGTGCCTACAGTAAGGTCAAAGATTAAAAGCTTGTAATAGAATATACTGACAGAAACTTGACATGGACAGGCAAATGAGCCGAGATAACTCCCCACAGGTAACATGATAATGGAATATATGCCCATAAAGCAGCGCTATACTGTTACCAGTGTCATCATTTTTCCAGAGCTGGCTTTTCTGAATTTGCTCGCTGCAGCTAGACCTAGACCCAAAAAAACAGAACCCAGGAGTCCTCTACTCTCAGGTGCAAGAACTCACTGCCAGGCCAGGACCACTGTTAATGTGCCTACAGTAAGGTCAAAGATTAAAAGCTTGTAATAGAATATACTGACAGAAACTTGACACGGACAGGCAAATGAGCTAACTCCCCACAGGTAACATGACAATGGAATAAACTATTTTGTTAAAAGTTAACAATTAATCACCAGCTCCTTTCCCCAAATAAGGTTTCTGTTAAATTACAGAACAACAAGACATTCAAATGTAATTCTTGACAAGTACTTGGCAGACTGCAGAGCCCTACTATGCTCACAGCAGCCTCGGCGGTTCCTTTTCTGCAGCCAACAGTGAACAGGAAGCACAACTATTCAAGTGCCATCAGAGATACCTTGCTATACACAACTTACATAGCAGCCACCCAGTGCTGCCCTGCACTTCTGTGACTGTTCCATACGCAAAATAACTCTTGCCTTAAAAGAAGCAAATACAAAGAAATGCTTAGCACTAACTCTGAATCTACAACACTGGGCAGAGGTATAGGGAGACTGTAGCCCTCGTTCTCAGATACGCACTTTGCAAAGTTCCAGCTAAAGGAAAAGAGTGCTGCTTGGTATACCCTGCACTCCTATATCCCCCCCAAACACACACACACACAGACACTGATTATGTGCTAGCTCTGACCCTACTCACATGCTCAGCTTTCCATCAGAAGGAAACCCAGACACACAGTGCAGAGGTGTGTGACTCAGCCCTCCTCCTACCGTTGAGACAGGACATAGCCAGAGCTCACATGGGGCCAGGAGTTTGCACCACACAACATTCTTCACTCAAAAGTAGGTCAGCTTAAATTAACAAAATTCACTCTGCAAAATTATGCATCAGATATTTGGTTTTTCCAGGATCAGTGTCCCAGGCCTCAGAGTGTATCTGCTGTTCAACACTATTTTGTTTAGTTTAAAGGACACTTTATGGTTCCTAAAATTGACATTTGTGTTTCTTCCCTCTCTACCAATAACCGTCTAAACCTTCATAATTGTAACACATTAATCTAGTTACTACAGACTTGTTTTTAAGCAGGGGAAGGGGAAGGAATTTTTCCACCCATGAACTAAGAGGATTCTAAGAAGAACAAAAGTTCATTGTGCAAGTGAGAGTTTGGAAACTCAAGTCTCCTAGGATCAATCTTCCTTCGCTTCTGGCTTAAGAGCTGCAGAAAACTGAAAGCATAATCCCTGACATTTCACTGTACTTGCAGGACTAAAATGTTTGCCTTGTGGATATGCCAGCACTGCAAGTAACTGGGTAGAAGCTAATCACTCTAAAGGTTTCATTGTATTTTAAAAATACTCAGAGCACCTCACTAGTCCATCCATATTGCAGTATAAATTGGTCTGTTTTGTAAATGTTTTCATCTACCTGTCTGTCAGCAGAGAGATGAAAAAGGATATTGATAGCATAACCGGGCATTTATGTAAATTGGACAGTTAAACCGATTCCAAATAATCTCTGAGTCCTTTCTCTCCCCACAATAAAATTTACTGCTCTTCCCTTCAGTAAACAACCTTTGGCAGCCACTCAATTTTGTGCAGCTGTCACTAGAAAAGTAGTCAAAGAAAATGAAAGACAATAGGTTGTGGAACTTGGCACTCATTTTTTTTCTGATTACTAACAGTTTTTGATGTTACTGTTTTAAAGCCACTTGCTATACATAAATCTGCTATTTGTTTCTAACATACCAGTTGTAATTTTGTAAATATTTCTCTATTTGACTTTTTAACTTTTTGTTAGCACAGAAAACCAATAACATTTAACTTTTCCCCTTAGCAATAATTAAGAGTTTACAACCTCTCATAGATATTCTGTCAATACAAACTGGCTGTAAAAAGGGTTTAATGTGAGTGGCAGTAAGTTCATTAATTAAGTTAACCATCTAAGGTAAAAGGCTGTAAATAAATAAAAAGTTATCAAAGCTTCTTATGAAAAAATACTTTTATCCAAGAACTAGACTGCATAATTAAACAATTCAAATCTTAGTTATAAACTGACTTTACTTGCAGGTAATCTGACTCATTTTAACTATGTATAAATTTAAGGCAGACAAGATATTTGTATCAGTTTTCTAAGATATCTGTCAGTTCTCCACAGCGGCTCATCAAACCTGCCAGTGAAAAACGTTTTGAGTAGGCAACTTGTAATACAGCTATGGTGTATTTCTGTCAGAGGCTGACTGCTCAAGTGTGAAAGAAACTCATTAAAAATCTCTCACCGCGATCCTGCATTGCAAGGCAAAAAAGAAAGAAAATACTTAATGAAGGGTACACTTAGCCTGAAGCCACACTCATATTCTGCTTTTCATTTACACTATTTCAGTAAGCAAATTAAAAGACAGCAATTAGTCACAGAAATACTATTCATACTGGTCATACTGGGAGATTAAAGAGGTTAACACTTTTTTATGTTAATATTAAGACAGTAATGAGGGAGATCAAGAATAATACAGCCAGCTAAAGAGGAATGCTAAAATAAATAGAAGAATCTCTTACCTTAATCTTAAGACAAGATTCACTGCACAAGGAACTTCACTATATTCATCACTAACAGCAGGCTGAGTCTATTAAACAGAAAAGCAAAAAGTCTTATAATGGATGCCAAAGGAAAAAAAAACCAACCTGAAATACTTGCCATGCTAACAGTTTGAAGTTAGCACAGTTTTACACATCCTCTAACTCTCAAAAACCTTTTAAACACTTTCAGTAACACAGTCTAAAATATAGCCAGTACCAGTGAAACTACCATGTTTCTGTTACAGATACAAATGATAAGGCTTGCATTAAAGCACTGAGTGCAAGAGCTTTTAATCCACCTTGCATCAAAGCTCCAGTAACCTATTAATAACATGCACGCAGTGAGAATCCCAAGCTACTACTGCCATTATTTTTGTGTAACAGTGTTGGTTGTTAAGGAAGTCTTGCATCCACTCATCTCCAGAGAACTAGTAGTGTTTCAAAGCAGGCACCACAGCTCAGAGAAATGTTCACGGGAAAATCAGGAGTACGGGTATCTTTCACACTATCACTCCTACATACTACGATACCCTTGCCAGCCCTCAGCTAACATTGCAGAAGTGTATCCTACATACGGAGTGCCTCAGGGTCCTCTACTCTACTATGGTTTCACACCCAACTTGGAATACTGTCATATTGTCACCATTCACAGAACCCCGTTCAAAGGTCACAGCCAAACCCTCCCAAAACAAAGACTTGCATCACAAATCTCAACTGATTGTTTTCCAATAGTTTTTCACATTAAAACTACTTTAAAAAAAGTGTTATGAAATATCTGTATTTTATTATCTGTATATTTTTAAACAAAAGTTAATGAATATTTGGAAAGTTACTTAATCACTAAAAGGGGTGTAGATTTTTGTTCTACTTCAACTAAGTTCTCTCCATTCATATAAACTACTGCTATTATATCTGCCTCTTCAATGGACCTGTTATGTCGGCAGATAGCAATGTGCAGCCTAAAGGCCAGGTGCACGCCAGCAGCAACAAGCTGCACTAGTCTCAGTTCCAAGTAATCTCCTGGAGCATTTAGGAAAACAAAAATCAACAGCAGACTTCAAGCAGAGGCCTTTTTCTCCTTCATTAACTACACAACTCAGAACAAAGAGTTACCTGTGTAAACTGACTCTCAAACTGCAGAACTCTCAATTTCTAAGACATAAAAAGACCGGCAAAAGTCCTTTTTTCCATACTTGACCTCCATAAGGCATCTCAGATGCTCGAGCGCTATGTAACCTAGTGCTGCAACGGGAAGACTGGGGTCATCGCAGGAGCTAACGGGACCAAACGTGGCAGGAAGCTGTTAGTCTGTTAGAAGATTTCTATGACACCAGTGAAAGTCAGAGAATCTAAAACTGCAGGTGAAGTGGCAAGTGTCACCCACCCAAGGAACAGGCATTTTCGAAAGAGCACTTTGGCTGCAAGCCAGTAATCCTATTAAGCAATTATTTATAGCAGCGATGCTCCCCACACTCTCAGCACAGGGCCATGAAACTCATTATGGTATTTTATTCCTCTGAATTAATCTACTACGCCACAGTACTGAACTATTTTACTGCATACAGGATAAAACATTTTAATTACAAGCTACATGTCGCGATACAAATCGTAAGAATGAAAAATTATTTGGAGATCCTCTGTCTGCTCCAGAACAGCCATCATGACTCTGACAAAAAGGCAGCAATTAGTGTGATCCAGTTATGAAGATTCATTAAAAACAGCCAAATTACCTATCCTTATCAATTCTCCTGGGCACGAATAGAACATGACTTTAAATTTCCTTTCCATTTTATCCACTGTGTGCTCAAGTTAATTGCTACAGGCCCAACTGCATACAGCTCTATCCTCACGAGTACTTGCCGCACAAGGCTGCGTAACAACATTCCTGCCTCAATTCACATTTCTGACAATAGAAATGAAAAAGAAATCCCTTCACTCAAACACTTGGAAGAGAAAAAAATTGATAAAGACATTTTTACCTCCGTGTTCTCCTCTTCTTTCACTCTTCGTGACTGGAAAACAAATGCAGTGAGATATAAGCTATGCAGCTTTATGCATTAAAGATCCAGAAATATAACAATTAACATTAAAAGGTTGTCTTGCAGAGTGTAAATGTCTTGGCATAAACAAAAGTTACCTTTTCCTGAGAAACAGCAGCTTTGCCTTCCTCGCTTTTCTCATCCATTTCATCATCACTCCACTCCCAGTCCCCATCTTCTGTTTTATGGAGGTGACCACTGGAACCCGGTACCCGTCTGACCTACCAAAACATTAAGTGTTCACCATATTCACATATCTGTCACACAGACTTCATTAGTTTTCATCAGTGTTCTAGTTAATCAGCAATTCTTCATTATTTTTATTCTATAGGCTTTCATTAATTTGCTGGAGGAGTCACTGGCATACTAGAATATCATCTGACCTCAGGGGTCATCCTTGACTCAGGGGGAACAGCTAAGCTATGCAAAATTCAGATAGGGAAACAGAGTTCAGATTTATTTTACAACTGCTTAGGAGCAAGCTCAAGCAGATGACAATGGTTTACTATGAACTAACCCTTCAAATAAAAGGAAGCTATTCAAGGAAGCAGAAGTTAGACAGACAAGGTTGTTCTTGGGACACAAGCCTTCAAAACTTCAATTGTTCTGCTAAAAAGCTTTAAATGTGTAAAGGCATTAAGGATACTTTAAAAGTAAAATCAGCCTTATTAAAAATTAGTAATAAAAAAGCAGGTGTATGCAGACTGAGAAGGTAGGCAGGCATACACCACACCAAACTAATCGGGCAAACTACTGTAGATCAAACAGTCTAACAAGGCTTAACAGGAGCATCCAGCAGCTAAATCTGAAAAATCAAATACTCTCCTGATGCCATCTTGCTCTTTTTCAGAGCCCGACAACACGCTTGTTTTATTCAGAACATGTTCAGACTATTTGAGCAAAACAAAAGAACATCCGACAATGCTTCCCACACCTTGGTATGCATTGAGGAGACCCATGAGATGGCTGGAAGCACAGCACAATAAGCAGCAGCCCCACTGGTGTTTAGATTAGAATCAGGTTCTGTAATTATTTCACATTACTGAACCAATATACAGTTCCCGCTGCACAACTTCAAATGCTCGTACAGGTAAGCTCCCCAGCACTATAAATTTGTGAGGCTTAAAGTACATCCTTTTGAATTATAAAAAAGGAAAAAAGTTATTCAGGAAAACAGCCGGTACATTGGTAAGAGAATGAAAGGAACAAAGCAATAAGTGCTCACAGCACACAAAAGGAGAAGTAACTTGGTAGAAAAGCAGTTTCAGGACAGGAACAACTGTTGGAGAAGACATCTAATTAAAACACCTTTTTAAACAATAATGAACTAGAGGGTTTTAGCTAAGACCGTATATCCTGTTTGCCAGTCTGCACAGTAACATACAACAGCCTGGTTCGGCTTTGGTTTCACAGATTCCTGTCTGTGGTGTTTTGATGTCTTGCCATGAGGTACACTGAGCACTGATTAACTCGGTTCTACCATCCTGATGGCTCGTGGCAGTGATGGAAACTCTTTGTACCAGCACAGCTACCTTACCAAACAAGATAATGCATTTTAAAAAAATAAAATCTTATTTCTGACTAGAAAAACTGCTGGTTTTTCAACATAATGAAACTTACATAAAGAATAAACTGGTATTACCCTTGCTCTAAACCTCTCCAGTTGCTGCAGACCACAATGTGGGGAGAGAGGCAGCATGTGACGGGTTCCAGCTGTCACAAATCCCATCAGGTAGCACTTCAGCAAAATACGTGTGGCATGCAAACAGTATAGGACACTAAAGGCCTGAGCTTGTGAGGGTCTAGAAAACTGTGTGATGCAGATATCAATACCATTTTTCTGAAGTGGCTTTTCACAGAGAGCAGTTAAGCTTTTTTCCTACTGTATTTGGACCGAGCCCAATTTGGAGCTGGTTGGTCTGACACCACAGCAGTGAGTATCAATTTAGGAACCTTCCTTCAAAACCCTGCACATACACAAGCAGGTATCTTGGTGTCTGTCTGCACTCTTTACCTCTCCTCCTTCCTTCACTCCCCAAACACCCACCCGTTCCTCTCCCTTCCCTTTTGCACATATAAGGCTAACCTAGGGGAAAGGGTGAAGTTTCCAGAACCTCAGCACATTTCTGTACCTTCTTCAGTCCTTATGATATTCTTCCCTTACATTTCTTCCCCACACAACCGAGTAAGAGTGTCCTACTCCGTTTCGCCATATTTTGTACTTATCTGAAACTGAGAAGAGGGGAAACCTGTGCAGGATCCCAGGGAAATATCCTACTCCATCACCTGAGGGACAAATTCTGCACTATTTTCTGTTCCCCATACCAGGCCCCTAATGCACCAATTTTAGCTCTAGCTGCCTCAAAGCTTGGT